GGATGCAGTATTCCAAGTGTGGTTTTACTAAGGCTGTGAGGCAGTGAGAGGCAAAGGAGAGCTGTAATCTTAACAACATGCCCTGGGCACTCTCACTATCACAAAATGGTGTGACCAAACACAAATCATGTTTTCCAGAATGCAAATAGATGGACAACGAAAGACAGAAAGATTTATTCCTAGAGCGCCCAGATTAACCATACTCTCTCAGATGCCCCGAGGTTCATTCCCTAGCAACCACACATAGCAATTCTGCTAAGAAATCACTGCCACTTATTAGCTGTAGATTTTTTTTTTCCTCCTCAACTATATCTGCTGATCCAGTTCTACAGAGGAATTATTGAGTCTGTCATCTGCACCTCTATAACTGTCTGGTTTGGTTCTGCAGCCCAACAAGACAGACACAGACTTCAGAGGATATTTAGAACTGCAGAAAAAAAAACAATGGCTACCAATCTGCCTTCCATTGAGGACCTGTATACTGCACGAGTCAAAAAGAGGGCTGTGAAAATATTTACACATCCCTCACATCCTGGACATAAACTGTTTCAACTCCTACCCTCAAAACGACGCTATAGAGCACTGCACACCAGAACAACTAGACACAAGGACAGTTTTTTTCCGAACGCCATCACTCTGCTAAACAAATAATTCCCTCAACACTGTCAAACTATTCACTAAGTCCGCACTACTATTAATCTTCTCATCGTTCCCACCACCCATCTCCTTCCACTTATCATTGTATGACTGTAACTTATGATTTATATTGATATTGTTTCCTGATTGCTTATTGGTTCCCTATGACTATCAGTAAGTGTTGTACCTTATGATTCTTGACTAATGTATCTTTTCTTTTATGTACACTGAGAGCGTATACACCAAGACAAATTCTTTGTGTGTCCAATCACACTTGGCCAATAAAGAATTCTATTCTATTCTAAATATATCCCTAACAGGTACAATGTTCTAATGCACTCTAAAATGTGTGTGCAAAGAGGTCAAATGGATCTACTGATTCCATATTGAAGACTTAGGATGAGGTACTTCTTAAGTTTTTTTTAAAAAATGATAAATATGAGAGGCCATCTTAGAGAAGGCCAAGTTGGGTTTGTTCAACATCTACTGTGAAGTCAGACATGTTGAAAATTGTGATGTTTCAGGGAGGAATTCCAAACACAGCCTCCTTCTCTAGGACTAAATATACAGTTATATTGATCATTAAAAGACATGACACTCTTCTTTCCTTCAATGATGGACCAGATGGACCATGTCAATCAGAATAGAGCTGGAAGGGACCTCGGGGGTCTTCTAGTCCAACCCCCTGCTCAAGCAGGAGAGAGAGGCTGTTTCCTTTTGCTCAATTATAGAAATTCACAAATCCATAAATCAGGTAGAATATCTTGCTTTGCATGTAGGATATCCTAGTTCAGTGTTCATCTTCTGTACAGACTAGGAACAATATTTATTATTTTATTTTATTATTCATATTTCTATGCCGCCCACTCTCCGAGGACTCTGGGTGGCTTACAACAATCGACAGTATACTAAATAGCATATTGCCCCCAACAATCTGGGTCCTCATTTTACCCACCTCGGAAGGATGGAAGGCTGAGTCAACCTTGAGCCGGTGAGATTTGATCTGCTGATCTGCTGAACTAGCAGACAGCTGAAGTAGCTGTAGTACTGCACTCTAACCATTGTGCCATCTCAGCTCTATATATCTCTGGAGTTATTTATTCAACATATTTATTTATTTATTCATTCACTCACTCACTCACTTATTTATTTATTTATTATGTTATTTATTTATTTATGGAATTAATATGCCATTGTCAGGTTTCGAGGTCGTCTCAAATAAATTGCATTTCAAACAAAGTCTTTGAAGAAAAATTCCCATTTATTAAGCACGACATTCTACTTCCGACTCATCGAAGCCAACACTGACTTCCAGACCCAAAACCCTCCCTTTCCATTCCCCACTCCCCTGCACTCATTGGCTGTCTTTCAAGTCATTCTACCCCTAATCTACTGCTCCAGCTCAAAGGAATTTCCCCCCTCCCATCTCATCTCCTAGGGGATATTATCTCCAGGGAAAATAAATAGGTGAAAAGTCAAACGTCCCTTCCCAGACGCCTCCACTTCTCCTTCTTATGTCAGCACTAGAGTAAATGCAGCTTGAAGTGCTGACATCCAGCCCCTCCCCCTTCATTCATTCACCCAGAATCATTTTTCAGAATGAGATAGGTGGCATATATTTAATAAATAAATAAATAAACCCTTGCATACCATCAGCTAGCAGGACGGAAAAAAATCAGTTTTGCAAGTTCGACAAGCAAAGAGTACAGCCTACCATTAACATCGTCCTGTATTTCTCATATCACATTAGTCTTAACACGTTTGTGGGATCACATTTTACAAGAGTTTTGTCAGTGCTTAAATACTAAGCACTCTCGCTACTGCTTTGAGAATATGGAGAAAGTGTAGAATCCTAAAACAGGTGGAAAGTATTATTCAGATTTGGCAATGTAGTTTTCATATAAACCTTGAAGGTTGAAAATCCCAGGCTTTGCAGCTTTGTGCTTAAGGTGAACGTATATCTGCTATCCCATAGTAGCAGTACATAGTAAATATGCCCCTTTCTTGAGAAAACTTTCCATGGATCTGTCAGTGCAAGGAACCATGACACCACTACGAGCTGATAGGCCAAGTTTCTTTATTGCTACTTGCCCATTTACAGGAATTTATTTATTTATTTATTTTATTAAATTTGTATACTGCCCTTCTCCTGCTGGACTCAGGGCGGTGCACAGCCAAAATAAAAAAACATCCCAATACAAAATTTAAAATTTGTTAAAAGAATTACACACTTTGGCCCAAAATTTAAAACATCCCAACTAAAACCCATAGACAATTAAAAACTAACATCTCAAAAAGGACTCTCCCTAGACTAGCTGTACTCTCCAGAGAAGAATCAGATAATCTCTTTAGGGAGCTCTTTTTGGTGGGGGGGTGGAATGTCAGGGCTTTGACTCTTCCTCCCCTGCAGGGATTCCATACTAGCCAGTCTCTGAACACCACGCCACATTTCCACAGATTCCACCACAGTTCATGGACTGTGTTATGTTATGTAAGTTTGGGGGGTATAATTTGTGGAAAGTGTTTCTTTCTCCAGAAGACTGTATCTGGAACTGCACTCATAAGCCTCAAGGTCACCAACATTCATTCATTCATTCATTCATTCATTCATTCATTCATTCATTCATTTATTTATTTATTTATTTATTTATTTATTTATTTATTTATATTTATTTATTTATTTAATTTTTTTTTTATTTATTTATTTATTTTATCTATCAAACATGTACAAGATAGCAATAGCACTTAGACTTATATACCGCTTCACAGTGCTTTTACAGCCCTCTCTAAGTGGTTTACAGAGTCAGCATATTTGCCCCCAACAATCTGGGTCCTCATTTTACCCACCTTGGAAGGATGGAAAGCTGAGTCAACCTGGAGCCTGGTGAGAGTTGAACTGCTACACTGCAGCTAGCAGTCAGCTGAAGTAGCCTGCAATACTGCACTCTGAACTACTGTGTCACCTCAGCTCTTGATAACACGTATAGGTATGAACATAAACATAAACGAAGGAAATGAATTCAAATAAATGGGCACAGTGAGACAGAAACGGTAGGCACGCTGGTGCACTTATGCACGCCCCCTTTACGGACCTCTTAAGAAGGGAGTGAGATCCACAGTAGACAGTTTGAAGTTGAAACTGTGAGGGTTTGAGGTTGTAATAACGGAGTCAGGTACAGCATTCCAGGTGTTGAACACTCTGTTGCTGAAATTGTATTTTCTGCAATCGAGTTTGAAGCAGTTTACCTTGAGTTTGTATCAATTGTTTGCCCGTGTATTATTGTGGCTGAAGCTGAAGAAGTCATTGACAGGCAAAATATTGTAGCAGACAATTTTGTGTACTATGCTTAAATCAGACCGCAGGCAGCACAATTCCAAATTGTCCAAGCCCAAAATTTTAAGCCTGGTGGCATAGGGAATTCTACTGTGGGTAGAGGAGTGGAGTACTCTTCTCGTGAAATACCTCTGAAACCGCTCAATCGTGTTAATGTCCAAAATACATGATATAGTTTCTTACAGCAGGAAAAAAGTTTTGGCAGAATCCTGCTAACTAGACGTTTTTAGAAAGGTCAACCCCAAAGTGATTTGGGCAAATCAGATAATTATTGCTTGTCTTTGTTTAGCCCTGCTCACTCAGATGTAAATTTCAATTTTGTGGCATGGGCTACCTATCTGTGAATCAGAGGTGGGTTTCAGCAGGTTCTGACCAGTTCTGGAGAACCGGTAGCGGAAATTTTGAGTAGTTCGAAGAACCGGTAGTAAAAACTCTGACTGGCCCCGCCCCCATCTATTCTCTGCCTCTCAAGTCCCAGCTGATTGAGAGGAAATGGGGATTTTGCAGTATCCTTCCCCTGGAGTGGGGAGGGAATGGAGATTTTACAGTATCCTTCCCCTGCCACGCCCACCAAGCCACGCCCATCAAGCTATGCCACGCCCACCAAGCCACACCCACAGAACCGGTAGTAAAAAAATTTGAAACCCACCACTGCTGTGAATGTCTTGTTTCTCGGTGAAGTTTCATCCTCCATGTAAAAAAGTTGGGTTATTTTTTTTCCAAAAAAGTAGATTTTCATTTTTTTTCAAAATGGATGTTTTGCAACTCTCTTAATAGCAACAACAGATCCAAAGGAGCATTAAAATTGCAAACATTGGACTAGTTGCTATACAGTAATAATACCTGTGACAATGATGATGATAATAAAAATTTTAAAGCAAGTATTTAATGTGAACATATATTTTTTTAAATTTACTTTCAAGGTATCCATGCTAATATAATTTTAACAATGGTTCTTTAACAGAAACACATTAGGTGCAGAGCTCCGAAGTGTTCTAATCAAATGAGGGGAAAAAATGCTAATGCACCAGAAGTTTGTTTTTTTTTAATCTTCAGCATCTTGAGAGATTCAGATTTCTTCTAATTTCCTATTACATGGGACTAATCAAATGTCACTCAAAGATTCTGTTTTGCCAGTGACCATGGAGCAAATCTGTTCTTCTAGGTCTTTAAGTCTTGAGCTGGAAAATTGTTTCTGGGACTTTAGGTAACCTGGAAAAAAAATGTGGAAAAATTACAATTTTTCATACAGAAGATGCTCTATTAAATTGTCAACTTAATTGAAAGTAGCAGAAGAGAAAGACAAGTTGATAATAATAGGAGGGCTATTTATTTTGAATCATCTAAGCCCCTCCAATGGATGGAAACCAGGTGTGAAATGCTCCCGGTTCAGACTGGATCGCCCAATCCGGTAGTGATGGCAGCGGGTGGTTCGGAGAACCGGTAGCAAAAATCCCTGCGCCCCCCCCCCCATGCCCAGCTGAGCCACATGATAATCAGAGGCTTTTTTTTAATTATTTTTAAAAGCATTTTTTCTACAACCTCTTCCGATGAAAAAATGCTTTTAAAAGTAAAAAAAAAAAAGCTCTGATGATCGCGCGGCTCAACTGGGATCATCAGAGGCTTTTCAAAGCATTTTTTTCTGCAACCTCTTGGCCAAAGAGGTGGTAAAAAAAATGCTTTGAAAAGTCTCTGAGGATCCCAGCTGAGTTGCCTGATCGGCAGAGGCTTTTCAAAGCATTAGAAAAAATGCTTTGAAAAGTTAAAAAAAAAAAAGTTGGCCATGCCCACCCAATCACATTACCCCCCCCACCAAGCCACGCCCACAGAACCGATAGTAACAAATTTTACATTTCACCCCTGATGGAAACAACTAATCAATGGATGGAAACTAATCAAGGAGAGATCCAACCAGAACTAATGAGAAATTTCCTAACAGTGGGAGCAATTAACCAGCGGAATGGCTTGCCTTCAAAAGTTGTAGATGCTTCATCACTGGAGGCTTTTAAGAAGAGACTGGACAGCCACTTCTTTGGAATGGTATAGGGCCTCCTGCTTCAGCAGGGGGTTGGACTAGAAGACCTCCAAGTTCCCTTCCAACTCCGTTATTCTGAATGTCTAAGGAGGTGCTGAATTGGTAAAATGGTACCAGATAAGCAAGTTTAAAAAAATATGAATAGCTTTTGCTATGCACCGGAATTCATAGCAGGGTGAAATCCAGCAGGTTCTGACAGGTTCTGGAGAACCGGTAGCAGAAATTTTGAGTAGTTCAGAGAACCAGCAAATACCACCTCTGGCTGACCCCAGAGTGGGGTGGGAATGGAGATTTTGCAATATCCTTCCCCTGGAGTAGGGTGGGAATGGGAATTTTGCAGTATCCTTCCCCTGGAGTGGGATGGGAATGGAGATTTTACAGTATCCTTCCCCTGCCACACCCACCAAGCCATGCCACGCCTGCCAAGCCATGCCACGCCCACCAAGCCACACCCACAGAACCAGTAGTAAAAAAATTTGAAACCCACCACTGATAGGAACGCTCAGAAAGGAGAAGATTCTGCCTCAAGTAAACTTGTCAATGCCGAGCTAAATAACTTGCCTGGGAGAAAAAAAAAATGTACAAAATTGTATTTGTGTGCATTCCTTCGATCCTATCAGTAGGCAATAAATCACCAAATCTTGTTCTTTGGCTGTGAACGGCCTATTCCCTCGGCAAGTTTTCTTCCTGACAGCATTAGTTCCCGGCTTTTCTCTTCTTGGAAAAGGAGCTAGCTAGTCTTGCAAACGTTTTAATACCTTATCAGCTTTGAGAAGAGAGGGATGGTGGTGGGGGGGGGGAAGTGCAAAGAGAGGAGGGGGGTTTCTCGTAAACTGATGGGAAAGTAGCCTGGCAGCTCTTAGGTTACCAATCCCTAAGTCCTGATCTCTTTCCTCTTTGGGGCCTTTGTTCAAAGCCACCCATCCATAGAAAATCAACCCCTTTGGCTTATTATGTATTCTGTGTCTGAGGTGACCAAAACTATTTCCTGCATCTGGCGTTGGGTGCTAATTACCTGCTCAAAGACCTTGTAAATGCCTCCCTCAACTTGTCACACACGCACACACACACCCTGAAGGAAAACTCCACTTTTTTCCAAACCTGGGTACTTTTTCTACCCTTTCTCCCTTATTATTATTATTTTTTTAACAACTTCCTAAAAGTTTGAAATGGGGTAGGGGGGAGAACGGGATCTCCAAACAGGATGGCCTTTTGCGTCGCTTGCTGGTCTCCTTCTCAGCCACCAAGCCACTCCCCGCTCCCCCCCCCATGCAAGGTCAGTCTTTTACCAGCTGCAGCTGGCCAAGCGCCATTCCACCCACCCACAAACCCCCCCAAAAAAAACCCAGGACGGGGTGGGGGGAGCTGGAAGGAGGGCAGGCTTGGAAAGCAGAGGGATCTTTTCTCCCACGGAGGGAACTCATCAGCGTCTTTGTGTGGCTGCTGGCATTTTTCCTCCCCACACACTGTGCAGATGTATTACTTAAAATTTATCTTGAGGCCTTCCCGGAGTAAGGAGAGGAGAGGGGAGGCCGGGCACCCGTAATAAGCGCAGCCCCCCCTTCACCCCCCCCCACAATGGACAAAAACCAAGATACAAAGTCCATTCAGTGTATTTACTGGGGAACAATAAAACAGATTGAAATGGCCTTGCACCTGCTTAGCGTCCTTGCCCTTTAAAAAGGCAGGCAGCCGAAAAGGTCTTATTTTTTAAAAAAAATAAAAATAAAAATAATAATAACTGCAGGACCAGAGCTGATCTGCAGCTCACGGGGCAAACTGGGAGAGTAACAAATCCATCTCTTTCTCTTTCTCTCTCTCTCTCTTCCCTGGTTGTTTTCTGAAAAATTAAAATTAGGAGCAGGAGGCAACGAAAATTAAATTAGGGAAGAGAAGAAAAAAAAAATCCGCTCTCCCAAGTTCAATTCCCTCCCCCCTCCCCAACCGATGGCTGCTTTTTATAATAATTATTATGAAGAAGGGGTTTTAAATTGGGAAATTGTAAGAGGGGAAAGGGCTTTAAAAGCTCTTCTGAGGGAACACAATTCCGAGATCTTTGTGAGTGCTTTTAAGAGGCAGCCTTTTCTTTTTTTTTTTTCAAGAGGCAACTTCAGCAAAACTCAATCTTTGTTGTATCAACCTCAAAAGTGCTCAATCCTGTCAAGGCCAACTCATGAAAATACAGTTTAATTCTCCAGGACGGAGAATGTTTTGAGGATTCTGATTGGTTGGAAGGAATGGGACATCCAATGGGGTGTAATTTGCAGTTCCCTCCTCCTTGCACCAGGCACCGCCTCCAGGAATCCACCAATGACATGATAAAGTTTACATACTTGGATTGTGGGATGGATTAAATAGAGAAAACCTGTTTCCCTGGCAATGCAGGAAAGGTCGGTATAGGTCAGGGGTCAGCAATCCGCAGCTCTGGAGCCGCATGTGGCTCTTTCATCCCTCTGCTGCAGCTCCCTGTCACTGATCGGCTCCACAATTGATAGGGCTTTTGGTTAGGTAAAGGAAAAAGGATGCCACTCTAGGAGAAGACTCTATGGTGGGGGAACCAGACTTCCGGTTGGCTCCAGAATTGAATGGGGGGCTTCCGGTTAGGACCTTTGTGGCTCTTTGAGTATTTAAAGTTGCCGATCCCTGGTATAGGTCATCCTCAATTTACGACCACAATTGAGCAAAACATTTCTGTTGCTAAGCAAGACAGCTGTTAAGTGAATTTTGCCCCACTTTACCACCTTTCTTGCCGCGGTTGTTAAGTGAATCACTGAAGTTGTTAAGTTAGTAACACGCCTCTTAGGTGTATCTGGCTTCCCCATTGACTTTGTTTGTCAGAAGGTTGCAAGAAGGTGATTACATGACCCCAGGGCACTGCAACTGTCATAAGTACAAGCCAGTTGCCAAGCATCCCAATTTTGATCACGTGACCATGGAGCTGCTGCAAACGGTCATAAGTGCGGAAAACGGTCATCGGTCACTTTTTTCAATGCCACTATAACTTCAAATGGTCACTACATGAATGGTTGTAGTTCGAGGACTGCCTGAAGAAGGGGAAAAATGAAAGGATGGTGCAATCCCATCGGCAGAGCCAGCTATAAGCTATCAAGGATTCTCATACTGCTAATGGGCAGCATTGCTCGGCCATTGCCGTAAAATATAAAACTGTTTCTAATATAAACACAACAATGGCTGGAATACACTGTAAGAGGGGGACATGACATCAATAAAAAAAAAGAATTGTCACAAAAGACCAAAAGCAGAACCGCTGAAGGTTTTGTGTGCATTATTCAACCCATCAAGATTCTGTTGAGTAGATGTACCATCGATTGGCAATATCTATCAGTTACATCAATTCAATTAGATTCAATTAGATATCAATTACATCAATTCACCAAGAGCCTTGGTGACGCAGCAGACTAAAGTGCTGTTAAGTAGCACCAGCTGCCTGCAATTACTGCAAGTTCAAATCTCACCAGGCTCAAGGTTGACTCAGCCTCCTTCCATCCTTTCAAGGTAGGTAAAATGAGGACCCGGATTATGGGGGCAATAAGCTGACTTTGTATAAAAAAGAACACCCCTTGGGGGGGAGCGAAAGCCCTACTAAGCAGGTATATACAAAAGTATGAAGGCTGTTGCTTAACGCATTGTAAGCCGGCCTGAGTCTCCGGAGAAGGGCTGCATATAAATCGAACCAACCAACCAATCAATCAATCAATAAATAAATAAATAAATAAATTCAGGATAGAGCTGGAAGGGACCTTGGAGGTCTTCTACTCCTGCCAACCCCCTGCTCGAGCAGGAGACCCTATACCCATGATGGCAAACCTATGGCACATGTGCCAGAGGCGGCACGCAGCACCCTCTCTGATGGCACAGGAGCTGTCGCCCCAGTTTATCTCCACTGTGCATGCACACATGCCTCCCACCAGCCAGCTGGTTTTCAGGTCTCTGCTGTGCATGCGCAGGGGGCAGAGGGACGTACATGCGGGGGGCCACAGGTGCATGTGTGGGGGCAGGATGTATGGACGGGGTGCATGCATGCATGGGGGGTGGGACACATGCAGGGCATGCATGCATGCACGGGGCAGGTGCATGTATGGGGCTGCACATGCATGTGCAGGGGTGGGGGTGCATTGCATTTTGGGGGTTCAGGCGTGCATGTGTTTTGGGCACTCGGTCCAGAAATGGTTAGCCATCACTGCCGTATATGATTTCAGACAAATGGCCAGTCTCTGTGGCCAGTCATCAAACCTCTAGTGATAAAGCACCCACATCATGAGTCCTTCAGAAGAAGGGCATTATAGAAATTCAATAAATTATCTCCTCCTCCTCCTCCTCCTCCTCCTCCTCCTCCTCCCCTCCTCCTCCTCCTCCTCCTCCTCCTCCTCCTTCTTCTTTCTTCTTTCTTCTTCTTCTTCTTCTTTCTTCTTCTCTTCTCTTCTCCTTCTCTTCTCCTTCTCCTTCTCCTTCTCCTTCTTCTAAAGGCAAGCTGTTCCACTGGTTAATTGTCCTCACTGTTAGGAAGTTTCTCCTTAATCCCAGGTTGCTTCTCTCCTTGATGAATTTCCATCCATTGCTTCTTGTTTTGCCTTCTGGTGCTTTGGAAAATAAGTTGACCCCCTCTTCCTCCTTGTGGCAGCCCCTTAAATACTGGAATTCTGATATCATGTCACCTCTAGTCCTTCTTTTCTCTAGATTGGCCATACCCGGTTCCTGCAACCGGACTTCATGTGTTTTAGTCTCCAAGTCCTTTAATCATCTTAGTTGCTCTTCACTTCACTTTTTCCAAAGTCTCAACATCTTTTTCGTAATGTGGTGACCAAAACTGTAGTATTTGAGGTATGGTCTTACTAAGCTTGTCTTAAGAACAATTGTGATTTAATTCTCTTCTATAGGACAGCAAAAAATTGGTCTGCATCCTGTAGTATTTATTTGGGCAAATATAAATTCATAAGAACATAAATCAATGAGTGAGAGCCTGCCAAAGTCCCATTCACTAATTTATTACATTAGATTAGTGTCAGTGATGACAATATTGTATTTGACCACATAGGCCTACGTAGAGTACACACAATATAGTCAACTCCAAAAAGATTGGGCAGTTGTTGGAGCAGGAATATGTTATACCTAAACAAATAGATCAAATGATGACATTTTTACAATTGGGAAAAACAACTGTGATTGTTTCCCTCCTACATACAAACTTGTAAGCCAACCCTCAGTTTATCCTTGGCGTTGAGAAGGTCTTTGCATTTAATTCTGTAAAGCTTGATTCGATTTGTTTGCATAACGTTACAATTTTCATTTATGTTTCCAACATCACAGGGAATTGGAATATTTACTGTATATTTGGATTTTGGTGCTTTATACCTCTCAAAACATGAGAACTTGTAGGTGTATGCACAGAGAGTCCTTGACTTAAAACCATTCATTTAGTGGCTGTTTGAACTTAACAATGGCAGTGAAAAATGTGACTCATAACCAGTCCCTGAATTTATGACCATGGTAGCATCCCCAGTGTCACATGGCTCCAACATGTATTTCTGAGGCTTGCAGTGTCCTGGAGGGAGGAGGAGAGAGGAGGAGGAGAAGGAGAAGGAGAAGGAGAAGGAGAAGGAGAAGGAGAAGGAGAAGGAGAAGGAGAAGGAGAAGGAGAAGGAGAATCAGAGGTGGGTTTCAGCAGGTTATGACCAGTTCTGGAGAACCAGTAGCAGAAATTTTGAGTAGTTTGGAGAACTGGTAGTAAAAATTCTGACTGGCCCTGCCCCCATCTATTCTCTGCCTCCCGAGTCCCAGCTGATCAGGAGAAAAGGGGATTTTGCAGTAACCTTCCCCTGGAGTGGGGTGGGAATGGAGATTTTACAGTATCCTCCCCTGCCACATCCACCATGCTACGCCTACCAAGCCACACCCACAGAACTGGTAGTAAAAAAATTTGAAACCCACCACTGAGAAGAATGTCTATGTAGATTCTCAGTCATCCAGGTCATGGTTGTCCCAAAGGTGTTTTTTTCCCAAAAGGCAACTGGACTTTCTGGTCTTTCTTCGAAGACATTTTGCTTCTCATCCTGAATCTTCTTGGATGAGAAGCAAAATGCCTTCAAAGAAAAACCAGAAAGTCCAGTTGCCTTTCGGTAAAAAAAACATCTTTGGGAAGAAAGAGGAGGAGGAGGATGGAGGAGGAGGAGGAAGGAGAAGGAGGAGAGGAGGAGGAGAGGAGAAGAAGAGGAAGAGCAAGAAGGAGGAGGAGGAGGAGGAGGAGAAGGAGGAGGAGGAGGAGGAAGATGAAGATGAAGATGAAGAAGAAGAAGAAGAAGAAGAAGAAGAAGAAGAAGAAGAGAAAAGAAGAAGAAGAAGAAGAAGAAGGAAGGAAGAGGAGGAAGAAGATGGAGAAGAAGAAGGAGGAGGAGGAGGAGGAGGAGGAGAAGAAGAAGAAGAAGAAGAAGAAGAAAGAAGAAGAAGAAGAAGAAGAAGAAAAGAAGAAGAAGAAGAAGAAGAAGAAGAAGAAGAAGAAGAAGAAGGAATCCTGATCACACTGTTTAGAAATTTTGTGCAGAGTGAAACAGTTCCCCTCACCAGCTGCAGTAAATAAAATAACCGCGGTGGGGTGATTTTCAAGGCCGTAAGAGGCTTTTTGTCTCCGTCTCATTCCCGGGGCCTCCAGGGTTTCTGAGTTCCTTCTCCACAGGTTCTTAATGTTTTGCCTCTCGGGTACAAAGGCCCCTGTGCTCAAGCCCCTCTTTGGAAAGCTCAGCCCCAATCTTACACATGCTGAGGGTTACTAACAGCAGACTGAAATGTGGCAGGGAAGGCGGGGGGATGCAGGGCACTAGCAATTTAGGATTTCAGCATCGCGGGGCAGATTTTTTTTTCCCCCGAGTGCATCAGGAGACACAGGCTGGAATTAAAAACAGCCTTTTGTTGACATATTAACCCTTCCAGCACCAGCTTTTCTTTTCAAGCTTGCTCAGCCCACATTGTTTAATCACGATAGAAGCAGGCTCAGATTTACAACTTGAACTGAAGGTCTCATGCTTTGCAATGTACGCTCTGGCTGTAAAAACCTTCTGCATTTTTTTCAGAATTGCATCTGTTGTGTATCTGTTTTGGCTTTCTTGTTGGTGGTACCAGCTTGGATTTAGAGGGCTGTTCAGGAATGTTGACGTGTGTGTGTGTGTGTGTGTGTGTGTGTGTGTGTGTGTGTGTGTGTTTAAAAAAGCACACTTTGAAATGTATTTATTCTGCCAACAGAGGGGGGGGAAACAATTTGGCTTGGCTGGTTGCAATTGTATTTCAAAGCATTCCCAGCTGACTCCTTTCCGAGGAGTTCGTTAAACTGTTTTACTGTGGATTTGTTCCACATACGGCGGATCAACCCTGAATTATTTTATTGAGTTATTTTATTTTATTCTATTTGAATGTATAAGCCGCTCAACCCCAACGCGCTTTTGAATGAGTTTGAGATTCTTGAGGGTCAAAAATGATTTGAGGAAGCCCAGTTTCTGGTTTATAAAATCTAGGGAAAATTTAAAAAAGGGGGGGGGGCTTTGAAAAGAAAATTTGAAAAAAAGAAGACTGTGTAGTTTTAGCAAAGTAGCCATTGTCTGAGGTGAACTGCTATAAACTGAGAATCCACTTTCAGAAGTGATTACTCAGTAATAGATTCGGGGTGGAGTTTGTTCTGTGGAATATCGTTTTGAAATCTTTGAAAGTAAATTTGTTTTAAAAGTCTTGGCAGCCCAGACTCAGCTTCACATTTTTTCAAGAAAATCAGTATGCTGTCCCAATACCACTACGTTAGCGTTAAAATCTTTGAACGCAGTGAATTCAGTCCTGAATAAGCTACAAGTGAGATAGACTATCCTATCCTCAAAATGACGTTATAGAGCACGGCACCCCAAGACCACTAGATACAAGGACAGTTTTTTTCCCAAATGCCATCGCTCTGCTAAACAAATTATTCCCTCAACACTGCCGAACTATTCACATTAGGCTGCATTACTATTGCTATTGGTCTTCTCATCGTTCCTATCACCCATATCCTCCCACTTATGACTGCATAACTGTGACTTTGTTGCTTGTATCCTTGAGATTTATATTGATATTGATTATTTCCTAGTATGACTTGATTGCTTATTGTACCATATGACTGTCACTGGGTGTTGTGCCTTATGATTCTTGATGAATGTATCTTTTCTTTTTATGTACACCGAGAGTGTATGCACCAAAGACAAGTTCCTTGTGTGTCCAATCACACTTGGCCAAGAAAGAATTCTATTCTATTCTATTCTGTTCTATTCTATTCTATTCTATTCTATTCTATTCTATTCTATTCTATTCTATTCTATTCTATTCTATTCTATTCTATTCTATTCCATTCCATTCCCTATTCCATTCCCTATTCTATTCTATTCCACTCTCAGACACATTTTAAAAAATAAATAAAATAACACCCACCCACCCAATGCAGTGTATCCTCGGGGTCATGTGATCAAAATTCAGACGCTTGGAAACTGACCTGTACATGTCACCTGTACATGCAGCGCCCTAGAGTCACATGATCCTTTTGTAAACTCCTGACAAGCAAAGTCAACGGTGAAGCCAGATCCACTTAACAACCATGTTCCTAACTTAACAACTGCAGTGATTCACTTAACAACTGTGGCACGAAAGGCCGTACAATGAGGCAAAGCTCACTTCACAGCTGTTCTTGCTTAGCAATGGAAATGTTGGCAATTTTTACAACCCTTCCGCGCACTTACAACTGTTGCAGCATCCTCGCAGTCACGTGATCAAAATTTGGGTGCTTAGCAACTGGCATGTCTTTATGATGGTTTCGGCACCCAGAGTCATGTGAATGCCATTTGCAACCATCCTAGCCAGTTTCTAACAAGAAAGTCAATGCGGAAAGCCGGATTCGCCTACCTGCAGTAATTCACTTAGCAACCATGGCAAGAAAGGTCATAAACTTGGGCATGGCTCACTTAACAACTGCCTTGTTTATCAGTGAGAATTCTGGTCCCAGTTGTGGTTGTAAGTCAAGTATCCCAAAAATGTCAGAACACATAAAGTTGAAGTCCGGTAAGGATCAGAGTTTGGCTGCCTTCTCCCTAGTTTAATGAAAAGAAGGACTAGGGGAGACGTGATAGCAGTGTTCCAATATCTCAGGGGCTGCCACAAAAAAGAGGGAGTCAAGCTATTCTCCAAAGCACCTGAGGGCAGGACAAGAAGCAACAGATGGAAACTAATCAAGGAGAGAAGCAACTTAGAACTAAGGAGAAATTTCCTGACAGAACAATTAACCAGTGGAACAACTTGCCTCCAGAAGTTGTGGATGCTCCAACACTGGAAGTTTTTAAAAAGAGATTGGACGACCACTTGTCTGAAATCGTACAGGGTTGGACTAGAAAACCACCAAGGTCCCTTCCAACTCTGTTATTCTGTTATCTGGTTACTGAATTTGTCTTTTTTTCAGGATCACAAGGTATTCTGAGCCATAAACCGATAAAATAAACCGAGTTTATATGATATCTCAGCAGATGAGAGTATTTGGCCCATTGTCCCTGGTTTTTGAAGTTAAGCAGAGTCCGGTACCGTTAGTATTTAAATAAGATTCCAGCAGCAAATTTCCCACTCCTAGAAATGGGAAAAAATATCATGCAACGGCACACCACTTCTGTATTGCCACCAGAAAAGGAAAGGACAATTCAGTAGAAGAGCCTTGGTGGTGCAGCCGACTAAAGTGCTGTTAAGTAGCACTTAGCTACTAGCTGCTTGCAATTACTGCAAGTTCAAATCTCACCAGGCTCAAGGTTGACTCATCCTTCCATCCTTCCGAGGTAGGTAAAATGAGGACCCGGATTGTGGGGGCAATAAACTGACTTTGTATAAAAAAAGAACACCGCTTAGGGGGGAGCGAAAGCCCTATTAAGCAGGTATATACAAAAGTATGAAGGCTATTGCTTAACGCATTGTAAGCCGCCCTGAGTCTCCGGAGAAGGGCGGCATATAAATCGAACCAATAAATAAACCGATAAATAAATAGTCTCCTTTGTTTAATTTCTCCTCCCATCAATCAAGATAATTAATAAATAATATAAGGGATTATCTGGATGAAAACATTAGCATTCATTGTTCATTAGAGATAATGATGATAATGATAAAAACGATCACCGCCCACATGGGGCTGTACAGGGACATCATCGGATGTTAAAGCTGTGACCACGACGAGGGTGATGATGACACCCAACCTAGATGATTCTCCGTTTCTCTGCCGGAAGGTCTCTGCTTCACTGAAAATTTATTAGCCAGCTCTTCTGGCTTTGAAAGGCCAGGGGGGCTGGCAGGCATGATTCAGGAAGGTTGAAGTCCAGTAAAGTCTAGAGAGCAAAGCTATTCTGTGAATGACCTTTGATCAAGAGCTCTAGGCCCTTCAGTCAGTCAGTCAGCCATCCAGCCGGACCAACAAACAAACAAAGCCTGGTCATCTCCCCAAATACTCACGATGGGTTGCAGATGTGAGGCTCTGAATGGAAGCCCTTTGCAATTCACAAACACCTGCAGGGATTCCAGGAAGCCCCAAATGTCTGCCACTGTGATGCATCCGGGGGGGGGGGGGAATCCTGTCCCAAAGGGACATAATGCTGGTGATCTTGGGAGATGCTGGATAGCTTCAGAGAGGTCAGTTCGGGTCTAGGCTCATCCGGGATGGAAGGACTCTTCGAATGTGTTTTTTTTTTTTTGCCACACACACACACACACACCGTGGAGAAGCATGGAGGTGGATCGTTCTTCAGGATTCCCACAAGGCCTTGCACCTGCTTGGAAAGAGAGGGAGAAGGATTCTTAGCTGGGCATTCCAAGCAAAAATGGCAAAGGATGCAAATTTGCAAATATTGCAAATACTGCAAAGGGTGATGGGATTTCAACAGTGGTGGGATTCAGCCGGTTCTGTCTGGTTCCGGCGAACTGGTAGTGGCGACTGAGGGAAGCTCCGCCCACCTGCCTGGACGTAATGTGCGAGCACTGCGCTTGCACAGAGGTGGCGCGTGCGAACAAAGCGAGCGTGTGCACGCACTCGCTCAGATTTGCGAACCTGTAGGGAAGGTATGTGAATCCCACCTCTGGATTTCAATACCACCACTGGCCCTTCGTAGGAAGGAAGGGAATTGGTAACTCCTTTTGTTGGTTTTCCCGTGGACAATAGAGTCAGCTACAGGTAGTCCTCCTCTTACGACCACAATTGAGTCCCAAATTTGTTTTGCTAAGTGGGACAGTTGTTAAGCCAATTTCCCCCCCCCCCATTTTACGCCCTTTCTTGACACAGTTGTTCAGTGAATCGCAGCAGGTGTTAAGTTAGTAACACGGTTGTTAAGTGAATCTGGCTTCCCCCGTGGACTTTGCTCATCAGAAGGCCACAAAAAGTGATCACTGGGACAGTGTCATAAATACATGCCGGTTGCCAAGTATCCAAACCTTGATCGCGTGATCACATGATCATGGGGGGGGGAGGGATGCCACAGTCGTAAGTATGAAAAAAGTTCATACACCTCTTTTTTTCAGTGCCGTTATCACTTTGAACGGTCACTAAATGAATGGCTGTAAGTCGAGGACTACCTGTACAAGGAAGAGAAAATGAAAAGATATCACACTGTGCAATCGCTTTGTAAATGGCTTATTGTAAACAGCTTGTTGTAAATGGCTTTGGGGGATGCTGCATCGGTCGTAAGTATGAAATACATCACTTTTTTTAGTGACGTCATAACTTTGGATGGTCGCTAAATGAACTGTTGTACATTGAGGGCAACCAGTATAAAGTCAGTACAACTTCTATAGGAGAAATCCCACTCATTCAAAGGATCTACTTGCAAATAAATGGGCAAGGAAATCCTCCATTTTTTCCCCCCAGGATTATGAACGATCCGTATCCTCACTTTTCCAAATGCCATCTGTCCTAGCTCTGTCTTTCTTTTTCTGATACATATTTATCTCTTCTTCTTTTTTTAAAAAAAATGCACGTATCTCCCTATTTGGCAAGAAAATACACAGAGTTCTTCAGGCAGAGCTGTGGTTGGGCTTCTATTTTCGGCTAGTGGCTTTTCTGATTCCTTTTTTTTTTTTTTTTTTTAATTACGCCGTTTTCTCAGATGCCACCCCTGCTGATCTCAGCTGCTCGTGACCAGGTCACTCCTTCCTTGGCAGAAGCACACACACCTTTTTCAACAACCATTTCCCATCGTTCATGAGATGCTTCGTTCTGCGGCTGCCCAAGGACCACAACACCATCGCACCCCTACTCTGGGGGACCAGCTTAATCCAAGACTCTTCTTCTCTCCCTGACACACACACACACACACACACAAATATACAAACACACACACACTTACTTTATACTTTCTAACATCCCCACATGTTGCTTTTCTTTCTCTATACAACTTGTGCCTACATTTTGGGTCCCCAACAAAGCTGTTTCTTGGATCTCAGGAGTTCTTAGATGCAGGACTGGGAGGAGGAGGAGGAGGAGGAGGAGGAGGAGGAGGAGGAGGGGAAGAAGGAGAAGAAGGATAGGATAGGATAGGATAGGATAGGATAGGATAGGATAGGATAGAATAGAATAGAATAGAATAGAATAGAATAGAATAGAATAGAAT